AAGAAAGAACAGAAGATATAAGAAAATTGAGGAAAGTGGAGACAAGAGAGAGAAATAACTGAAATGTCCAATACAGAGGAGATGGAGAAATTGAAAGAATTGGGAATGAGAGAAGAGAGGAAACAAAGAAACGAATAGAAAATAAAATGAAATAAGAAAGGGAGACAGATAGAAGGACAAAGAGATGAAAGAACAACAGAAACAAATGAATAAAGAAGAGAAGGAAGCGAAGGATTAACAAAGGGTATGAAAAATAGACGAAATAAAACAGGAAACACAAAAGAGACAAGAAACAAACAAACATACAAACAAACGTAGTGAAGAAGAAGAAAATACCGAAAAATGAAATTGAAAAAAAACGACACATTAAAATCAAGGACAAATACAAGATGAAAAATACTCTGGGACAAAAGATGAGTGAGAGCGGACAAAATGAAAAATGGAGGAGACAGAGAGAGAGGAGAAGAAAGAAAGACAGTAAACAAACGGGGATAACGAGATACAAACAAGCAGAATAAAAGAGCAATAGTCAGGAAGTAGAGGGAGAGAGGAGGGGAAAAGAGAGAGAGAGAGGAAAAGAGAGAGAGAGAGAGAGGAGAGAAGAGAGAGAGAGAGAGAGAGGGGGGGGGAGGAGAGGAGAGAGAGGAGAGAGAGAGAGAGAGAGAGAGAGAGGGGGGGGAGAGAGAGAGAGAGAGAGAGAGAGAGAGAGAGAGAGAGAGAGAGAGAGAGAGAGAAAGAGAGAGAGAGAGAGAGAGAGAGAGAGAGAGAGAGAGAGAGAGAGAGAGAGAGAGAGAGAGAGCAAGAGTGAGAGAGAAAGAAAACAGAGAGAAAAAGGGGTAAGGCAGCCAGCCAGCCAGCCAGATAGACAGACAGACAGCCAGACAGACAGAACCCAAGCGAAATCCCCCAGGCTCCCTCCTACCTCCATGAGCCACGCAGGTGAGCTCCACCACGGCGCCCTCTTGGTAAGGGCCCACCATACTGCTCACGGGCTGACTGCTTCCGCCCACGAACACACTCACGCCCGTGGGGGGAACTAGGGAGGGGAGAGAGAGATGCTTTAGTGAGACAAGGAAATGAATAAATGAATAAATAATGAAATAATTGTATTAAAGGGAGAATTTAAAAACAAGGAGAGGGTGTTTTTCGTCGCGATTTCATTTGTTTGTTTGTTTGTTTCATATGTTTTATTGCGATTGCCTTTTTTTTTTACTTTTCTTTTCTTTATTTTTTTCTATTACAGTCTGTTTCTTCTGTGTTCATTTGTTTCTGTGTTTTGTAATAATTAATTTTGTATAATATCCTTTATTGTGGTTAAATTTCCTTTTATTTACTTTTTATTTATTTATTTATTTATTTTTTTGTACGCGTTTACTTCGCTTGTTCGCTGTACAACTACACACACACTCATTTATATGTATACATCGCTCTCTCTACTTACCCAACCTATCTATCTGTCTGTTTATCTACCTACTTATCTACATTTCTAGCTACCTATCTACCTACCTACCCATCTATCAGTCAATCAGCCAATCAATCTATCTATCAATCTACCTATCTACTTCTCAGTCAGTCTATCTATCTATCTATCTATCTACCTATCAGTCAGCTAATCTATCAATCTATCTATCAATCTACCTATCTACTTCTCAATCAGTCTATCTATCTGCCTATCTACTTACCAATCGATCTATTTATCTACCTATCAGTCAATATATCTATCTATCAATCTACCTATCTACTTATCAATCAATCAATTTATCTATCAGTTTTACCTATCTACTTATCAGTCTATGTATCTATCTATCTATCTACCTATCAATCAATCAATCTAGATAATAATAATAATGATAATAATAACAATATTTATTTAATATTTATTTAATATGATATTTATTTAATGTAATATTTATCTAATATTTATATAACATTATATAAATTAATTAATTAATTAATTAATAATAAATAATAAATAAATGAATAAATAAATAAATAATATTATATAAATAAATAAAGTTTCAATAATCTGACAAGAGTCTGACAAGAATCCTCATCAGCCTAAAAAAAAAAAAAAAAAAATACAGACTAGACATGAACTTAGAAGAGCGAAAATGATACACAAAAGGGAGATGGAGGGAAACTAGGAGAGCGAGAAATCTTCCTGTAAAATAATGTGAGGTAAATGATACTTGTAGTTGTTGTAGTAGTTATAGTATTTGTAGTAGTTATAGTAGTTGTAGTAGTTATAGTAGTTGTAGTAGTTATAGTAGTTGTAGTAGTAGTTGTTGTAGTAGTTATAGTAGTTGTAGTAGTAGTAGTAGCAGTTGCGGTAATAGTAGTAGTAGTTGTAGTAGCAGTATTAGTAGCAGCTTTAGTAGTTGTTGTTGCTGTTGTCGTAGAAGTAGAAGTAGTAGTAGAGGTAGAAGTAATAGTAGTAGTAGTAGTAGTAATAGTGGTAGTAGTAGTAGTAGTAGTAGTAGTAATAGTGGTAGTAGTAGTAGTAGTAGTAGTAGTAGTAGTAGTAGTAGTAGTAGTAGTGGTAGTAGTAGTAGTGGTGGTAGTAGTAGTAGTAGTAGTAGTAGTAATAATAATAATGATAATAATAATAATAATAACAGTAATAACAACACCAATAATAATAATAACATCGTCTCCCCCGTACGTTTCCCGAAATTCTAAAACAGCTGCCGAAATTAATGCAAGACTGCAAGAGACGGACTTTACCCCCCCCCCCTTCTCCCCAGTATGCAAATATCTGGATATCGCTCTAACGTCTCTCCCTCGACGCTTTGAAGATGAAATGAGCAAAAGTTAATTAAATTTGATATATCCGAATGCTTAGAGTAGCGAGTACGTCGATTTAATATTCTTGTTTTTTGTTTTTTTTTCTCGACTGTGTATTATCTTATTTATTTTATTTATTTTTCGATTTTTTTTTTTTTGGGGGGGGGGTATGTTCATTATGTTATAATTATCATTGCCATTAATGTTATTGTTATTATTATTATTGTTATTATTATTATTATTATTATTATTATTATTATTATTATTATTATTATTGTTGTTATTATTATTATTATTATTATTTTATCGCTATTGTTGTTATTACTGTTTTTGTTGTTGTTGTTGTTGTCATTATTACTTTATTATTATTATTATTGTTATTATTATTATAATAATAATAATAATAATAATTATTATTATTATTATTATTATTATTATTATCAATATACATGTATGTGTGTGTGTTTGCATGTTTGTATGTATATATATATATATACATACATATATATATATATATATATATATATATATATATATATATATATATATATATATATATATATATGTATATATATATATATATATATATATATATATATGTTTTTCTCTTTCTTTTTCTTTTACTCAGTCGCATTGGCCTCCCTCCCTCTCTCTCTCTCTCTCTCTCTCTCTCTCTCTCTCTCTCTCTCTCTCTCTCTCCCTCCCTCCCTCCCTCTCTCCGTCCCTCCCTCCCTCTCTTCCTCCCCCCCCCCCCCCGCTTTTCTCTCTCTCTCTCTCTCTCTCTCTCTCTCTCTCTCTCCCTCCCTCCCTCTCCCTCCCTCCCTCTCTCTCTCTCTCCCTCCCTCCCTCCCTCCCTCCCTCCCTCTCTCCCTCTCTCCCTCTCTCCCTCCCTCCCTCCCTCCCTCCCTCCCTCCCTCTCTCCCTCCCTCCCTCCCTATCTCTCTCTCTCTTCCTCCCCCCCCCCCCCGCCTCTGTCTCTATCTCTCCTCCTCCCTCCCTCTCTCCCTCCCTCCCTATCTCTCTCTCTCTTCCTCCCCCCCCCCCGCCTCTGTCTCTATCTCTCCCCCTCCCTCTCTCCCTCCCTCCTTATCTCTCTCTCTTCCCCCCCGCCTCTCTCTCTCTATCACTCCCCCTCCCTCCCTCCCTCTCTCCCTCCCTCCCTTCCTCCCTCCCTCCCTCCCTCTCTCTCTCCCTCCCTCCCTCCCTCTCTCCCTCCCTCCCTCCCTCCCTCCCTCCCTCTCTCCCTCCCTCCCTCCCTCTCTCCCTCTCCCTCCCTCCCTCCTTCTCCCTCCCTCCCTATCTCTCTCTCTTGCGGTTATAAAAGATAAAGTCTGCTCCATTAAAGCATGACGGGTGTTTGTGTATGCATGATTCGTTTCTCGTAAAAGTAATGTAGAGGGGAGATTTTTTTCCCCTTGTTTCTCGTAAAAAAAAAATTCAAAGGGGATATTTTATTCTTGTTTAGAGAAGCGAAGGGAGTTTTTTTTTTAAATATTTTTTTCATGTTTTTTTTTTTTTTTTTTTTTTTGTATCATTTATTTTAATGATATGTATTGGCTGCTGTGATTCTTCTTTCGATTTTATCAGGATATATGTAATGTTTATTCCCAACGTTGATAATGATCACGGATGATGACAATGTTGCAAAACGATGGATATGAAGTCAACATTACTGATAGACATGGAGTATATACGCATTTATTTAATCTAACAATAATGTTAATTATAAGAATAATATTATCATTATTATCATAATTATTATTATTATCATTTGTACTATAATCATTATTATCATTACTGTTATTATCACCATGATTGATAATAATGATAATAATTATAAGAATAATAATGATAATAATGATATGAAGAATAATGATGATAATGATAATGATAATAATAATAATGATAATAACAGCAACAACTACAATAGCAACAACAATAATATTATTATCATCATTGTTATCATCAACATTGTTATTATTCATTATTATTTTCATTATCATTGTTATCATTATCATTACCTCCGCCAAGGAGGTTATGTTTTTGAAGGCGTTGGTTTGTTGGTTTGTTTGTTAGCAGCGTAGCTCAAAAAGTGCTGGCCGGATTTCATCGAATTTTTGGGGACAAGTCAGAAAGGGACTAGCTTAGAACTGATTAAATTTTGGTGACATTCCGAATTACCGTCTGGTTATCATTATTATTATCATTATTTAATCAATAAATTTACAATCCAAGTTCGGTACACAAATCTACGGTAAACGTGTGCCATATTTCACTATCTCCCATTTTATTGTTATTGTTACCTCCGCCAAGGAGGTTGTTTTTGACGGCGTTGGTTTGTTGGTTTGTTAGCAGCATAGCTCAAAAAGTGCTGGCCGGATTTCATCGAAATTTTGGGGACAAGTCAGAAAGGGACTAACTTAGAGCTGATTAAATTTTGGTGACTCCGAATTACCGTCTGGACGCAGAAGCGGTGTAAGTACATAATATACGCACCTTGGCGGAGGTCTGCACTCTCTGAGTGCTTTTCTAGTTAACATTGTTTTTCTCATTATCATTAATATTGCTTTTCTCATTATCATTAATATTGCTTTTCTCATTATCATTAATATTGCTTTTCTCATTATTATTATTATCATCGCTCCTACTACTATCATTATTATTATTATTATCGCTACTACTACTATCATTACCTCCGCCAAGGAGGTTATGTTTTTGACGGCGTTGGTTTGTTTGTTTGTTTGTTTGTTAGCAGCGTAGCTCAAAAAGTGCTGGCCGGATTTTATCGAATTTTTGGGGACAAGTCAGAAAGGGACTAACTTAGAACTGATTAAATTTTGGTGACATTCTGAATTACCGTCTGGTTATTATTATTGTTATCATTATTTAATCAGTAAATTTACTATCCAAGTTGGGTACACAAATCTACGGTAAACGTGTGCCGCATTTCACTATCTCCCATTTTATTGTTATTGTTACCTCCGCCAAGGAGGTTATTCCAGACGGTAATTCGGAATGTCACCAAAATTTCGATGAAATCCGGCCAGCACTTTTTGCACTACGCTGCTAACAAACAAACAAACAAACAAACCAACACCGTCAAATACATAACCTCCTTGGAGGAGGTAATAATAATGACAATAATGACAATAATAATAGTAATAATAGTAATATCATTATTATTACTATCATTATTATTTGTATTTTATGGTCATTATTATAATTAATCATTATAATCATTATTGTTATTAT